TGTGTGTGTGTGTGTGTGTGTAATAATAACAATTAAAAAATAATGGGCCATGGATTTGAGAGGGAGTGGAGGGGACACAGGAGGAATTGGAGGACAGGAAAGGAGGGAGGAATTATGTAAATATATTATTCATCTATGAAAAGCTCAAAAATTCTATTTTTTTTTTTAAAAAAGAAGGGATATAGAATAAGGAAACAAGAACTGCTTTAGCTTGAAGTATTGGAAATGAACCCGACTCTCTAACTGTTTTCTGTCTCAGGGGATGTGTATACTGTTACCTGGTTGATAATGTAACCATCAATCACCTCTGCTTCCTGTCATCACGTGGAAGTAGCATGGGCTCAAAAGTGAATGACTTCCTTATTTGCTCAGCAAGGTAAGACAATGGATAGCATAAATATTTTCAGTATACAGATTTTCAATACTCACACAGAAAAAGAATAAGAACAACTAGAAAGTTTAATATACTGTGTGCTACCCTACTTGTACCTAAACCCATCTAACTTCTTACTCTTTCTGTGAGATGATTCCATTGCTTGTGATTTTAAATCCTCCCTCCCCACACACCTAATACACATATTTATTAATCCAATGAACAGCACTGGAAGAATATTAGATAGTTGGTTAGAAATGATACAACTCATCAGGGCATTGTTTGAGAATAAATCATTTTTTTTATATTGTATCTTGTCTTGAGCATCTATCTCAGCACTCTACCAAAGCTATACCTCTTATCAAGTTAACAATTTTCTCTTTTGGTTTAGAGGTAGTAATGGTTATTATTCACCTAGCCACTCTACGCCTCACTCTCCATGGTTAAGTACTTCAATGATGCCCATTTATGGAAAACTCCTCAGTTATAATCTCTTTAACTTTAGTTTTGAATGTGTCCTTGTTAGGGTTTCTGTTGCTGTGTGATGAAACACCATGACCAAAAGCAAGTTGGGTAGGAAAGGGTTTATTATGCTTACACATCAGCATTGCTGTTAATCACTGAAGGAAGTCAAGACAGGAACTCAAATAGGGCAGGATCCTGGAAGGTAGGAGCTAATGCACAGGCCATGATGGGGAGCTGCTTACTGGCTTGCTTCCCATGGCTTGCTCAGCCCACTTCTTATAGAACCCAAAACCACCAGCCCAGGGATAACACCACCGACCATGGGCTGGGTCCTCCCCCATTGATCACTAAATGAGAAAATGCCTTACAGCTAGATCTCAAGGAGTAATTCCTTCAATTGAGTCTCCTTCCTCTCTGATGACTCCAGCCTTTATCAAGTTGACATACACACACAAAAAAATCAACCAGTACAGAATGTGACTTCTGTTTCATACAGGGACAGTTAGTACTGCATTTGGCTTCATAAGATAACTTTTATGGTCATTTTGCTAGTAGTTGTCTCAGTGGACTATAGATTAGAGGTTTTGTTATTGCTTTTCCTAATTATGAATAGCACCATTTAGATCTATTGGACTCCAGCCATTCTATAGAATTAAAGAATAACATTCCTGATAATGGTAAAGATAGAATTTTCTTAATACCTGGAGGAGGGCACAGATTGGAGCTTGGACAAATTGAACAAAATTATTAAACTGTTGTTTCTTGTATACTCAACTTAATAAGAAGAATTTATACAAAGTGAACGCTATTTTCTATAACTATTTACAATGCTTTGGAGCTTCAGGAGAAATAAAATAACTATTTTAAACCTATAATCTATTTATATTATACTTATACTTCATTTTTACTACTAAACAGGTTACTATTAAAATGATTAATTTAATAATTTAAATAAAATATATAATTAAGATTTCATTATAGATTTAAAGTATTTCTATGTTATGTACTTATTATTGATTTTAATTCTCTTCAGTAAAAAGCTAGTCTTTTAAAATATTCTTCCAATAGATTTTCTTTATATTCATTATTCTAATATTTAATTTTGAAAGAAATTCTCTTTTTACCTAATATACACAGTATTTTTAGTTGCAATCTTTGCCATGTTATTTAGACAAGAATCAAAACCCTAATCACAGCTCACTGTGTTTCTTCCTTCATAATGTCTACCTCACTATGTCCTTAATCCCTTTGTCTCTACTTGATTTTGTACACACACACACACACACACACACACACACACACACACACACACACGGTAACATCTGCCACATAAGGATTCTCTTCTGTACATATTCTTGCCAGCATTTGTTATTTCTTTTATTAATGACTGTCAAAATTTTTGTTGTTGTTGTTCATTGACTAGATGATGGTTATCTTTACAAGTTTTCATTAGACCATTTTGTTCTAATATCAGAAATACTGAAAATTTACAGTTAGAAAGCAATCAAACTTATGTTTCTATAAAATAACTTTCATATGTTAAATGTGACAATGAATTCATGAACTCAGCTAGATACTTTGCAATTTCCATTTTCACATTCTTTATGTGAGTCTGTTATGACCAGATGAGCAGAAAAACATATGTAGGACTGTACATTATTATTATAAATCCATTGCTTATTACAGTTATTTTAAGTACACGTGGTAAATGCTTTTGAAATTACCCTTTAAAGAGAGTTATATGTAGTCAGAAAGCTACCAAAAGTGCCTTGTAAATGTATTGGTCGATTAGAAAGGTTGTAGGAGTTAATATGAAAGGAAAACTATTTCCCTGCAAGGCCATGATGAAAATGGTAAGATCAGCCTTTCTCAGAGGAGAATATATCCCCTCTCTTCTGATCACTCATTTAGCTATGATTGTTTGCTTTTTCTAATATATCATACATATTTTTATTCAAGTATACTAAGCCAAATAATTCTTCCCCTCAACTAAAATAGTAGTTGTTTGTCCATTAAATTTATATGTTTAATGTGTGTAGAGTGACTGTTAGCTTGATTCGCACAAAGTATATTATCATTAGGATTGAAAACACGGAATAATATTCATTAAGCAACGTCTCTTTGTTGTACAAAATACCACTATATGAAGGACTCAGTTTGTCTACTAAAAATAGCTATATCAAATAATATCTAGAAACAACACAAAAGCCATACCAAGTACAGGTCTTGCCTTTCTTGGTCCTCCGTGACTGTATACAATGGCTTCTAGAATTACATTAGCTGCAAGCTCATGCAAAGGAAGCAGTTCATGGGCTCTGAATAAGAGCTTCTGTGATTTACAAGAGAGCTTATAAGCCTTCTCTACATTGCGACCGAAGCCCTTACTGAAACATTAAGCATGCTGTTTTGTGGTGTGCAGAACCTGTTCAGGTCACCACTTACATTATTTTTCTGTAAGACCTGCAGTGCCTTGTTGACATTGTTCAGAGCATGAACTCTTGTAGATCCTTTTTCTTTTGGCTGAGAAAAGAAAGGAGAGAAATGGTGTTTACTAGGGAACAAAGAGACAGAAAAATTCTATCTGAAAAATCAAGGATGTATAAATTTCACTTTTAAGTTTGAATATTTTACATATAAATGAACACATACTGTGAATCATTTATTTTTTTAAAAAGTCTTCAGGCTTTGGGCTTTTTGTCCTTGGAATATCACATCTTTAACATAAAGAATCCACCTCCTGAGAAAGAAAGCACATTTTTTTCATTTACAGTACAATTTGGGGTGATTGTGTCTTCATTTTTTAGCTCAGTGTGTATTATTATAAGACCGTGAATGATGGAAAACATTAACAAAATACATAAGGAAAGTAACAAGTAAGATAGAAAAGTAACTTTATTTCTATACATTTTAAGAAACGTTTGAAGAACATGAGTCTCTTGTGGTGCCCAAACTCCATTCACTAACTAGCCACCCATACACGCTCCTGCAGGCAACCCTAATTTAAGTCAGTTGGTCATAAATGAAAGGGAGAGAGGGCTAATAGAAAAGAAAAAGGGATTGAACAAGAGAGGGAGGGACCCAGGAGATGGAAGTAGAGGTGAGTCTGACCAAAATACATTGTTTGAAATTGTCAAATAAATCATAATAATGTATAGAATTGTCAAATATAAATTACTTTGAAATATATAATGTTATATGATCGATAACACAGAGCTCTCCTACACAGAACAGTCAGTTAGCATTCAGAGAATGAGAGTCTCTGAAGTGTTCAGCACTAAATGGGATATACTTATTACATCCCTTACCCCAAGTCCTAGGGATATTCTCTGAAGGGGGAAGAAAAGATCTTAAGAGCCGGTGGTTTTTGATGACAGGAAAACCATGTTTTCCAGGCACAACAGGATCAATGCATATGGAACAAATATGCAGAGATGTGACAACAAGATCAGTTCAAGGCAGAATCTCAATATAGAGGAAGAAGGCAGGCATGAAATCCCAGACCTAACTGCAGAGCAATTGCTATTTGATGGCAGCTGGAAGAATAGGCAGTTTTCAATAATGGCATAATTTCTGGTAGACTGGCTACACACTAGGGCAGGTCTCACTCCCAACACGAGCTTGGCAACAGAAACTGGGCTCAATGGGGAAAGAAGAAATATAAAAGAATGATTTGGGTAGGAAGGCAAAGGAGGATAGCTAGGGTGCTAAAGACCAGAGTTGCAGTGGGAGGGTAAACATTTTCAAAATACATTGCACAAAATTTTCAAATAATTAAAATATGCTAAAATGTGTAATGCTAAATAAGAAGTGTATTTCTTTTTTTGTTTGTTTGTTTTTTGTTTTTTGTTTTTTGTTTTTTTTTTTTTTCGAGACAGAGTTTCTCTGTGTAGCTTTGTGCCTTTCCTGGAACTTGCTTTGTAGACCAGGCTGGCCTCAAACTCATAGAGATCCACCTGGCTCTGCCTCCTGAGTGCTGGGATTAAAGGTGTGCGCCACCACCGCCCGGCAAGAAGTGTGTTTCTTTGACTACTGCCTAGTTGTCCTAGTCACTAGAATTCAAAATTTCAATAACCAGGGTTCTTAGTTTATATGTTTAGTCCCAAAAGTTATATTCCATCATTTAATTTTAAACTAACATCTGCATAATTAATTAAAATACACATCACCTCATTTTTCCTAATAGATGAGTTTTTAGAAATTCTATTGTTGTGATGCTTGTATTTATTACTGCCTTATTATTTTTTCTGGTTTTTTCCTTAATGCAAGCTCTCATTAGCTATCTCCAAGAATATATTAGAAGCTCATTTCTTACTCACAATTTCTCCTTGATATCTTTAACAATGACATGGTTGGAACAAGTCAGCTGCCCAAAACAGTGATTTATATAGCTCTCATTTCAATCTTAGGGAGGCTATTGTTTAGTACACAGTGTGACTTCCTAAGCCTGGTTTCAATTTTCTGCTCTGTCACTTTTGGATTATTCAACCTTGAGAAACTTCTCAGTCTCACTATACTCCAGTTTTTTCACATGTTAAAACAGAGTTAATAAAATAGCTGTTCCACAACTTTAAGTAGTAATGTGTATAAAGTATTTAGATGGAGGATTTTGATATAATGCATTCAGATGTTTGCTCTATGGGGTTTGTAGTACATGGAAAGTTCTTCACGTTATTATTAAGCAACTTGCAATGCCAATGGTTTCATACCAATTTCACTTGTAATTATCCTAAACTTAAAAATTAACATATATTCACAAAAATTATCAGTGGAACAAGGCTCCAACTTTTGGTCCGTGCCTCTGAAGTTAGAATTTTCATATTTATTGTCTTACACTTTCTTTACCTTGTGTATATATGGAATAAATAATATACTTTTCTACTTTTAATTTTACCCTGTACTTTCCAAGATCCTTCCCATCCTTCCCAAGACTTGCATACCCAAGAGAACGTTACCCTTTAAACTGACTGTACAAGCTTCCAACATTTCTGTTAAGCCTTCTAATCTCCAAGATGACTTAACTACTACCCTTTGTTAAAGAAACAGATGTCTTGTTCCTTCATCTTCCTCCATCTCCAAGCATAGCCACATTAACAGCAATCGCCACTTTTAATATCTTAGTACGTTTTACTCTATGAATGTCAAAGTGAGAACAGCCTGTATTTTTGTGTTTTCCAACCTATCACCACAAAGAGCAAGAAAACAAAGGCACAGAAACATGGTTTTAAAGAAAAGCAGCAGAATATCACCATAAATGTGCAGAGAAGGAGAACAGGTTATGAAAGAATAACCTTAAACAAATGAAAGTCAGTGAGATTTATTTCTGTATTTATAAACATAACTGATCCCGTAAATATGGAAAAAAGTTGGATGCTCACAGTCACTTATTTCTCTATCAACATCATAAAAATATACACATTAGACATGTACGCTTATATATATAATTTGTGACTATAGTGAAATTAAGAGTAAGCCTATACTGTGCCTTCCAATTGGCTACCTGACAGAAGTTTAAATGCAAAGCATTTGAATATTTTATTCTAGAAAGTCATCAACCCAAGTTAAAAGCTCTTAAAAATATATGAAATATACATATAAGTAACATTATACAGACTTAACAGATTATGTTTAGCAATATATATGTGTATACATATATGCATGAATAACAATTACTGAAAACAGAGGCTGTGAATTTGAAGGAGAGTGGGGAGGATTATTGGAACGAGAAAAGGAAAGTGAGAGATGTAATTATATCATAATCTCAAAAATAAAAGTAAAATTATTGGGTAAATAAACCAGAAAATGTACCAGTTTTAATTATTATAGTAACATATTAATCCTATATAGCTATTGAAGTTAATTTAAAAATGGAAGCACAAAGTATGTCTTTTTAGCATTACTACAATATTTGAAAATCACTGCCATAGCCATGCATACATATATGCACCAAAATATTATTTCAAGTAATTAAAGGCAAAAATAAGTTCTATGGAATTTAAGAGAGGTAAATTAATTTTAGAAGTCTGTTAAAAAGCCTTCAATAGCAAGCAGAAGCCCATGTTTTTCAAGGACTGTCAGAACACATAGAAGAACAGAAAGCAAAATAGGTAAACAAAACAACAAAGCAAAATTCTGGGCACTGTCTGACAGTACAGGGACCAACTTGGCTTGCTGTGAGAGAATTGCATGAGGCAACTCAGAGATAGGATTTTGGCCAGATTGAACTTTGATAGACAGCTAGAGTTTCTATAGTATATACAAAACCTTGGTTTGTGTGTGTGTTGGGTGGGAGCGCTCATGTGCATGCACATGCTTAAATGCTTGTGCTGGAGAGCCATAGTAAAGGGAAAAGAGAAAAGGTTAAAACAATAATTAAATAGGACTCATTATATATACAGAATGGATGGCTGTAGGTAGACTAGAGTTTTAAACCCTACTTAAAAGAATAATAGAAATCTAAAAATAAATCTTTTAAGTCAAGAGATTATGATTTAAGAATTTTTCTCCATTATGAGAGTTTCATCAACTGAACTCAGACTCTTCTATGACTTTAGTGACTTATAATATAGTATAGCCATGTTTTATCTCCTTCATAGGAATATTCTAAAGTTATATAAGTTAACAGTTCTCAGAAGGAAAATATATTTTCATCTCATATGCTTTTTGATATCAGACTAAATACCATCATTTTATTATACTATACCAAAAATATTTTTATATATATATACAGGTGCATTTGAAAATACAAAATAACACAAAGTTAAGTTTAAAGTCATTATGCATAAAAACCTTTATACAATTAGTCCTTAAGAAGGATTTTTAAAAAGTAAAGACACATAGTGCTTATTAATTAACAGAATATATTGTTGAAATTTTTTACTTTATTATTCTGCACAAGATAAACAATGCCAAAATGAAAATTATAATATGAGTTATTTAGTTCAGGAATAGGTACTGTATTGCTTATCTGACTAATATATTGGTGAGTTTCATTAGATCACTCAAATAAAACTGATTCTTTGGGGTCTGACACTTCATTGGGGTTACTGTAAATTTCAAAATAAATTTCCTGGACTGGAGAGATGCCTCAGTATACAAATGTAAGGACCAGAGCATGGGTACCTAGCACACACACAGTAGCCAAGTAGGCATGGTAACCTGTGTGTAATCTCAGGGATCTGGAGGCAGAGACAAGGACCATAGAAAAAAAGCTGGCTAAATAGAATAGCTGAATTGATGAGGTCTAGTTCAAATGAGAGACTGTCTCAATACATAGAGCAGAGAGTAATTTAGGAAGCTATCCAAAGTCAACCTTTTGCCTTCACACAACACACATGCACACAAGTGCTTGTACACCCACGTGCAAACATGCATTCAGTCTCACATACAAATACAGGAGAAAGGAGAGAGGGGGAGGGAGATGGAGGAGGGAAGGAGGAGGGAGAAAGAGAGAGGGAGGGAAGGAAGAAGGAAAGAAGCACGCAAGCAAGGAAGAAAGTAAAGAATGATTCTTACCAGTTTTTGCCCTGTCAGGCCTTCCAGGAGGTCTAGGAGGCGTTTCCCATCCTGCAGGTCACTGAAGAGGTTGTCTATGTGCTGCTTTCCAAACTGAAATGAAAAACATACCCATTTGAAAAAAATCACAGTTTTTTTATAGTTTTTATGTTCCATATGTATGATGAAGCCTTTGGAAATTTAAAACTATATTTAAGGGTATTTGAGGTATCAAATTAATAAATGACCAAGAGTAATGTATGAAAAGGAAGTTCAAGTTGATAAGCAGGGTCAATAAATTATTACAGTAGGACAAATATATTTGAACTGTTAATGACAGCAAGTTGAAAATTTGTAGCATAATTCATCCAATTAATCTGTCAGATTGTTCAACATCCTTTGTCACACTTTACACAAAATGATTCAGAAAGTCCTGTTCTCATTTTAAAACAAATCCAGTTTTTGGAAGGCCTGATTTATTTATTTTGTCAGTTATTTAGTTAGTTTGATGCCTATTGCACCTGGTAATCTCAGGTTGCCTCTCACCCAAGTATCCAGTAATCCTAGTTGGTCTTCCATCCAAGTATCATCCCGTCCTAACCATGCTTAACTCCTGGGATAAGATGAGATCAATGGTGTTCAATGTGGTATGGCTGTATATGGAAAAATCTAGTTTAAACAGGGTGAAAATAAGCCTACTAAGGCCTTTCACTTATTTTTCTAGGGTATCTACTTAGAAATTCCATTAAGGAACCTAAAATTACTATAATCACTAGTAAGTCCTAAAATTCTTAGAGTATCTACTGATGGGAGGCACGGAACTTTGCAAATGGATCTTATCACCATTGTATCTTTTCTGTCATCTTAACATTAATGTGCTCATCTTACAGGAGCAGACAAAGAATTTGGCTATGCAACCCTATGTTACAAAACTAGAAGGTGGTAAGCCTATCATTTTGCCTCGGGTCTAGGTAACTTCTGAAGCCTCTGTTCCTTCCATCCTACCACGTTACTCTTCTCCACCTTATTATCTTTCTACTCTGTTATCTTTCAAATATATTGTTTCTTCTGACATATACTCCAAAGTCTTTCCTAGTTTCAGTCAAAAACCATCCACAATTGTTTCTGATGATATGATTTTCAGTTCTCTTATTACCCATTTTATCCACAAAGACTTAGTTTAGCACTGAAGTCAATGGAACAGCAGTAAACCAAAGCGAGATGCTAGATGGAGCTCATGTTGGTAAATCAGACACACAATGCCCAGGTTATGGAAGTTCTTTCCAGCTGGGAAAACATATTCATGAATAATAATACCACACACAGGAAATAAGTGAATCCAGGAAAACATAGCTGTGGAAAATACCAGAGTCTGTAGCTTCAAAGCAGGAACTGCTTTCACCGAGTATCAAATAACAGGCCTAACATTGACCTTTAACTCGTGAGCTACTTAGATTGCAAACAAACTCTTAAAGTTACTTATCAAGAAAATCCCTGTATACAAGAAAAACAACAACTTTCATACATCCGACTAAAGACATGAAAGTTAGATTCTTCCTACACCCAGGTAGCAATGTCAATGATGGGACCTGTAGTTGCCTTCTATGAAGAAAAACCTAGCTCCTGCAGGCAAACCACTCATTCTTGTATTCTCAGATTTTGTGATATGATATCAAATAGACTATTTTTTATAAACTATTTTTTGTTTTGAAATTATACCCCAATAGTTCTTTTTGAAACTCCATAGTAAGAATGTAAATAATACAAAATATTGCATGCTGAAAGTTTTTAAAGCAGGTTTATAATGCATAATATATAAGTAAATCTTAAAAACAGTGACATTTTATGACTCTTTAAGCAGATGAGTGTATACTTCCTAATAATACCATAAAGATCTTCAAATGTAAACAGTAAAATGTTACTACATGAGTAACACTGAGGTTTTATTTTCCAATTGAATTCAAGTACAACTTGAAATGCCCTTTATTTCAGGGGCAAGTTTTATAGAAGCAATTGAGAAAAGAGTTTTTTCTAAAGTTATGAAAATAAGCATCTTGCAGGTAGCAATATGCCAATATTTAGAAAAAGGCAAATGTATATTTTTCTGACAAAGATTGTTGTTCTTAGGCCATAATGTGTATTTTTATTTTTGCCAGATAAACCCTGACAAACCAAGAAGGGCATGGATGACAAAATGGCACTTACTCAAAAAAAGAATTGAAGCCAGTAAATATGAAGTATATCTCAGGGCATCTAACCTAAGTATCATATAATATGAAACATGTGCTTTGATTTAGGGAAAGGAAGTAGAGATAAAGGCCAGCAGGCTGAGAGAATCTTGCTTACAGTCTGAATGTGACACAGACTCTCTATAGTTTACCCTTTCATGCCAAATTCAACCAAAATGGAAAGAGAGTACATGATCCCGGTCTAGTCAGGCTCCCAAGTGTAACTAGTTAATGATCTTAGTACAAGGAAGCAATGAGTTAATAGGAAAAAAAACCTGATCTTATTATTTTATCAGTTTTCATAGCACATTTATAACAAGTTTCACTGAAGTATCACAACAGAAATCCAAATCTTCTTTGTTCCATTGGCCATATTGTCACCCAGAAGGAACATGCTTCCTGCAAATGCAACTGAATGAATTTATCCTGGATATGGCAGGATCAATTCCTCAGTAACTGAAAGTTTAGCAGTTCTGTGAAAACACATGCTGAAGCAGGTTTTGCTCTCCTTTTGTATGTTTGCTTTAATTTAAAGACAAATATTAAAGCATTTTTGTAAAATTCCCACCTACTAAAGCAATTCTCAACAAAATGTCTCAAAGCTTCCGATGCTTAGTCTACATGTAGTATAACTACCCCACAGGGGGAAAAAAAAGCATCTCATTACTTCGACATCCTTTGCTTGGTTTTAGCTACTCTTTCTTCATCGGACAGAGTTATCAATATTGCACAGCAAAAGGAGCACAGATTCCAGAGGCAACGGAAGCTAACTCTGGCACACAAGTGCCCTGTTCACTAGCTGTGGTGTCCGAATAAAGGAAACCTTTGCACTGATCATTAAAATGGAAACTGATATAATAACACCTCAGAGCACACTTGTGAACTTGAAATCAAACAAAATAAGTATAATCTATAGTTGTTGCATAGGAATTGGCAACTTTTAATCCATATTTAATAAATATAGGATGATTTTACTCCTTTATTCTATTAGCGCTTCTGTATTTCTCTCTGTAGTGCTAAGTTCGAGGTACATATGAAATATATCATGCAATTGAATATAATATAAAATGCTGAGTTCATTTGTAATGCATGTGATTATAACCCCTATAAGAGTAGATAATAGTATAGGAATATAAGTATAGCACCTATAAGAATAGTAAGGAAGGAGAGATATAATTGTGCACTTACATCACAGAAAATGAGGAATGTAAACTGTGGATCGTGAAGCCCAAAGAAAATTCATGCTCTTATTCTGTTGCTTCTTTGGCTATTTTAAATTAAATCTTGGTTTGTTTCTTTCCCATTTCATTTTTGCTATCTATCACATCTTTTTTCATAGGTGACATTTAGGGTAATAAAAGCATTACTATTTCCCTAAAATTCCATCATTAATGGCTTTCTTTTCAAGTGCAGAAAATGGTTTTATAAATCAAAGTGCCACATCCTTTTTGTGCCACATGATTCTGTGGCTCTTTGTCTTTAGTTCCTTTCATGACTAATGCTTTCTTTATTAAATGAACTCAATGAACTTTTGACATTACTCAGCAGATTCACCCATTCAGTTATTGACTTCTTCTTTACTAACCCAAATAGCAAGATGAAACAATCATAAAATAACAATCCTTCTACAGCATTGTTAACAATGAATTAAGGAATATGGAAGCCCAGATAATGTTAAAAATATATTAGTAGGTGGCATAAACAGAGGAGAAAATTTTAAATAATGTAAAAAAAAACAACTGTAAAAGGCTCAGAAATTCATTTGTGAAGCTGTTTAAGTGGCCTCTGACTCTTCAGAGTTGCATCAGTCTTTTAACCTGAAAATACAGAAGGATCAATACAATGTTCCAGTAAGAGGTAAAGAGCACACGGATAATTTAGCATGACCTTCTGGTTACAAAAAGGTCAAGCCATGGATATATCTGTTGTTCAAAAAGTCAAGAGACTGCTCAGTGATTACAAATTCTGGACACTGGAAACACCAAAAAGGCTGCAAAAGTGAGGATTCAAAATCTCCTGGGAGGCAATGCTGCTGAATTGCTCAGCACAAAATAATACAGCCTGCTGTAGTTTCAACATGCACTTTTTGTAGGTATTTTTCTAAAGTACAATTTTTAAAATTTTGACAAACATTGCATTGCAACATAATATACATACAGGAAAACATGTATCTTCAGTTGTACAGCTCATTGAATCTTTGTAAAGTGAATAGCTTTATATTACAGCAATTACACTTATAAACAGGATATGACAGGTACCTGGTAGCAACCTAGCACCACTTCTGTGGATTAGCATCTTCAAGAATGACCACTGTACTAATTGTTAAGAGCACATATTTATAATGCTTCACAAGCCTCTCAATAAAGACAAATAACATGTGTTTCATCTTTAATTTTAGGAATGTAATGATTGAAAGGAATATGGCTTATATAGAGAGAATTTGGAAGGGAAAAATTTCACACTGATGAAGTGTTTTACAAAGCATAAAAATTATAATTTTGTAAACAGAATTTACTCTACATTCAAAATGCCTGTATCCATATCTTATATATTATTATAAGATCTTGGGCAAGTCTCTTTTCCAATCCAAGCCTCATTATTTCCATTTTTAAAAACAAGATATAGTATTACCCATATTGTTGTAATGATATGAAAATTTTAAGTAGAGTGGGCTTTTTAAAAATAAATATGTCTAAAAGATGCTAACTATCATGAACTTATTCCAGTATTTTGAACCAGAATGCTCATACTTCTTGACAATTCCTCTTTGTGAGTTTATACTCAGAGTGACCAATGGCATTAACTAATTTGACAACATAAAGATTAGATGGTTAATAAATATAAGATGTCCAATATAGTCCCTGGCTGAGAAAGTGTTCAATAAAC